AAAGTAATTGTGGTAAACAGCTTGTTGCTGTCAGTGTGTGTATATGTGATGAATGTACTTGAAATGCCAGAGTGGGTAATGATTGATTTGAACAAAATTGTCTGCGACTTTATCTGGGAGGGAAAGGGAGTAAAAATTGCACAGAAAACATTAGTGGGGAAAAGCTGGGAGGGAGGGCTAAATTTGATGGACCTTGAAATAAAAAAGGCAGCTCTGAGAATAAAGACTGTGAAAATATTTGGTGGGCCGATGGAGCTACGGGTGGCAGGAGTTGCTGAAGAAATACGTAGAAGATGTGGGAGGTATAGGGGAGTACGGGTGGTACATGGGCTTCAAACAGTCAATGACAGTAGGAATACCAGGATTTTATAGAGAGCTGTTTGAGGCGTGGAGGAGGTTTTTACCAAAGGTAGAGTACGAATGTGAAGGTCCACAACTGTTTGTGAATTTACCACTGTTCTTAAATGAAAGAGTTAAACACAATGGGAAAACGCTGTATGACCTAAATTTATGGAAGGGGGGATCAAGCAAATTAAGGACATCATGTACGAGGTGATCCCTGGGTTTCTAAGGGGGAACTGCATCTATGATGCTGTGTGTGAGTTGGAGGGAATGGAAAACAGAGAGAAGGTACAAAAATATACGAGAGGATCAAAGCAAGTATACCTTTGGAGTGGACCACTAGCATCGACAGGGTGAGTGTGAGCAATAGAGAGGGACGTATGCCTGAGTGGTATAGAGTGGAGAATGGGAAGAAATGTAAAATGAGAGCATGAATGTGAAAAAGTGTACAGATGGTTGATTGTTGACGTGTTAAAGGAGCCGGCTGCAGAGAAAGTTTGGAGCAGAGTGTTTGTGGATATGGATGTGAAGAAAATATGGTCAAATGCCAACATTAAATATAATAGCATAGAGTGTGAGAACAATGACTTCCTGATCAAACACAACAGAATTTACACAAATGTGGTGCTGAACAAAATTAATAATGAGGTTAATGTGATGTGATCACATACCAGACCGCGGTCCCTTATTCCTGTCTCCTCCCGCTCTGTCTCCTACAGCCTTTCTTTTTGCTGTCGGTCTCTGAGCCACTTCTGTCTCATTCTCAGATCCTCCTCGTCTCTCTTCTTCCATCCATTCTTCTCCTCTGTTTTGTCACAGTCTCTCCATCGTCCCTCTGATTCTCTGAGCACCTCTGTCCTGTCCCCCTCGGTCTTTCCTCCTCAGTCTCGGCCAGCTCCTCGTCTGTCTCGACTCCTCCCGCCTGACCAATCCTCTCTTCCTCCTCTTCCTCCATGACGCCGTCTCACTGTCGCCGTCCATCTGATACCTCCGCTCCAGTTCTCTATCTTCTTCATCGTTCTCACCTCCAGCCGCCTCCTCTTCCTCCATTGTATCATTACTTTCTTCCTTGTCGGTCTCCGGCTCGGTCTCTCTCCCCTCCTCACACTCGCGTGCGAAATGGCCTGTTTTTTTGCACCTGAAGCACTTGAATTCGGGGCAATCTCTGAAGACATGCCCCGGTTTTATGCAAAGTCTGCACACCCGCATCTGTCTGTCGTGGATCACACGGAAATACTCCGTGCCTCTGAGAGTCTCAAACTTGGTGGAGTACGGGAGTGAGCGCACCTCCTCAGTGAAGCGCACCTTTAAAAACCTCGTTCCGTCAACGATCTCCGTCCCCGAGGCGACATCTGCCTCACTCCCCACTCATTCAGTCGTGATACAATCTTATCGTCTTCCATGTACACCGGCAGGTTAATGAAGGACACCATCATATCGGTGCTGATTATGTCCCTCCTCGTCCTTCATTGTGATTCATACGTCCTCTCACCTCTCACTCTGCAGCCGATCACTTCTCCGCACTTCTTCTTCACCTCCTTCAAAACTTCCATCATTGAAATTCTTGCCGTTCCCTCCATCGTCAAGTCTCTTCCGTACTTCTCTCGTACGCCACTCTGTTCAGATTTCGTTCTTCGTTTGCTCCTTGGCCTTCATCCGTCTCGTTGCTCTGTCTACTGTCAATCACGGGTTGTCTGTCTTTCTCCACACTTTCCTTTTCTCCCATATTCCACCTGTCCGTGTCTTTACTCGGCAGTTTTTCCGTTCCGTTGTTTGTTGCCATAATGTCCGACCGATAAAAAGTGAAAAACAGCAAAGCTGTCGGGGGATTGAGGCTTATAATAAACGCAAACTTCTTTCCAAACGAAATCTATCACCAAAATGACGAAAAAACTAATATATATGATGTCTATGAAGATTCTCAGTCATCCAGGTCATAGTTATCCAACGAAGGTTAAAGTCAAGGGCAACTGGACTTGGTTGAAGATACTGGAAGACGTTTCGTCCCTCATCCAAAGGACTTCTTCAGTCCAGTTCAAGGAAGCATCTACACCAGTGTTGAGAAGCCGTCATTGAACAGGGGAGGGGGTCTACGCCACCACTTATCCCCCACTTACAATGCTGTCCTTTCATCACTTAAGGAAACGTAACCTATTGGCCTCAGGTGAAGATACCAACGATGGTCGTTCAGTCTCGGCCACAGGTAGTCTTAACGACTGTAACGACTGTCGTCACAGCAACAAGGAACACTAACGAACCAGCGGTATCGATGACCCGGGCCAACGACCCCACTGAGGTTAAATAGCTGAGTTTCCCTGCCAGTCAGTCAGAACTGAAGAAGTCCTTTGGATGAGGGACGAAACGTCTTCCAGTAGCTTCAACCAAGTCCAGTTGCCCTTGATTTTAACCTCCGTTGGATAATATCTATGATGAAAAACGTTTTGATTCAAGGCACACTATTACCGCTCTGCCGCTTCCTGCTTCAACCTTCAGGCGTGTTCAGGGTGGTATGGCCGTAAGCGAGAAAAACAGCCACAAAAAGCCTCTTTATAGATGGTGATCACTATTATGACCAATCATAAGCGTTAACATAGAGTTTCTCACATAACTTTACTAATACAAAATATGTTCTGTATATATTTTGGTGAATTAAGGATTCATTTCAAGTAAACCAGAGTTGGTGATTGCTGAAAGAGTGAAAAGACAAACTTTTTTTCTGTCCAGTTTGAATGAAGTGTGTTGTCCAAAGATCAGTGAGGTTAAATTAATGCTTTTCTCAATGGAGTCTGGTGAGCTGTCGTAGCGCCCACTTGTTTTGGTCTGAGATGCTGGCGCTCCAGTGGCAGTGAATGTTGCGTACCGCACTGCCAAATAAACAAGGACAGAAATCTTAAGGATTACAACTTGAAAGTTTAATATCACGAGCTGAGGAAAACCCTGTTTAGCTAATCTGGTAACAGGTTCCTGACTGAAGGAAATGTTCACATGAAACATGCATCTGTACAACAATCTAAGACTAAACAGCTCTGATCTGATTCAACATTCATGTACAGAAATCAAACTATTTTCCACTGATGTACAAATACAGAAAATAACAGAGACAAATTCAGCAAGAAAGACTTTCCAGTGACACATCTGCTAAATGACAAAGAAAATATTAGTGGAATGACTAAAATTATTTAAAACATATTATAAAATAACAAAGTAAAAAATTAAATGTAAAAAATACAAACTAAGGAGAGCTTCAACAGAATAACAACAACAATAATAATTATAATAATACTGCTTACAAAGGTCACACTCAAATAACAAAACCTCTGGTGTGAGACTTTGACTCCACATGAACTAACCCCCCAAAGTAAATAAATACAACAGAATCATCTTGAAAAGGAATAAAAACCACAGTTAATAAATAAAAAAATAAAAACGTTTTTTTTACTAAGACAGTTTAAACCAGTTCCAAGGAATTCTGGGAACGATTGTGTTTCAGGAGACGACAACTGACAGCAGCTAACATCAATTAGTTTCCGCTCCGCTTCAGTCACATTTAAAAGCTGTTCTCTATTGGTCGCTTCCGACCAATCACGGCTGAGGGTGACGTGACGCCCCGCCCCCTCTGTATCGACTAGTCCGATCAATAGGTGCAGGTTTTCTACTGTTACGGCAGAGGAAGTTCAGACGAACTGCTTGGGCTTCTGGGAAGAGGTGGGCGTGGCTTGTGTTGGTGGTGGTGGCGGGGGCTTGTGCTTCTCTGACGACTCACCCTGGTCGCCATGGAGATGAGGGGGTGGCCTCAGCTGCAGTTTATAGAAGACAACAGCTACGTTTACCTTTTTGTTATTCAGTGTGTGTTTACTGCTTCCTCTGTGAGGATCAGTGTTTATTTCAGTGGCGACTAGAGAACGCATGTTTACAGACAGTCCTCACAAGTCTAGTACTCTTACTCTGTATCTTGGACAGCGCGAACTCCAGCCCCTTCATGGCTTTGACTTGGTTACTCTTAAACCGGGCGAGACCAAACTCCTGCCAGAGAGAGACGGACAGTTAAACCCCATTCAGACAGCATTTATGTCTTTATGTCGTTCTTACTCCCAAGTCGTCACATATGGAGGCGTGGTCAAGACCCGTTGGCGTCAGTTTGTGACGCACTGGGGAGCCCTGTAGCGTCATAGTTGAACATACTAAGGGAAGCCCTGTAGCGTCATATTTAAACGGATATTTAACAGAAAAGTCAGAGTAAGGAGGTGGTAAGGGTGGACGTTGGGTCAGAAACCGGACTCGCATGAAGGAGATCTGGAGATAAAGTCAACATTAGCTTCTCCCCAGGTTTTTATTTGTGACGTAGGTTACGTAAGTTCGGCAAGTAACGCGACTTAACTTACATAAGTAAAGTCTCGTAACTAAAGTTATCTTAACTCAAACCATGATATTTTCCTAAACCAAACCAAATTGCAACCATTTCACAGCATTAACTTATACTTTAATTTTGAAAGTTGCTTATTTATTGTTGCCAACTTGACTACGGAGACCTACGCATCCAAAACCTTTTAACACAGGGTGTTAAAAAGTGACGCCAAGGGGTCTTGACCAAGCGTCCATATTTGATATTTGGCTTTAGACAGAAAGAGAGAAACGTGTGTGTGTGTGTGTGTGCACCTGTATGGCCGGGCCAGGCCGCAGACGGCCGAAAGGATCCAGGCCTCCCTCCTGAGTTTGGTCCAAGATGGCCGACTGCCGTCCTCCTCAAACACACAGCGCTCCACCACCGTCTGAGAGAGAGAGCCAGCACACACTGTCAAACTACAGCTCGAATGTGGGAACAAATTTAACATTCGATCTTTAATCGGTTAGCTTTCAAAACTGCCAGTGTACACAAGCAAGTGCCTTGTTCCTCAGAGGGGAGCGTACGCTGACTTTGTCAAACACAGCAGCCTGTAATGTCAGTGAAGGCACCACGAATGGATCAGGAGTGGATGTCTACTATCACCGCCCTCTACAAAGCCACGCAGCGTCCCTCCTTCTCTGCTGCTTCCATTACGTGGCCACGCAGTCACATGAACAAGAATATAAATATCAACATTTCCTGAATGAGGTCAGTCCCACCGCCTGGCTGGAGGTCGGAGAGCCTCGTGATCAAACTGAACCAGCAGTGAGTATTTTAAACCCTGTTCCTCATAGAAATGAATGGGGAGTGAAGTCTAAAGATTGAGATGAATTGCAAAAAATGACTGCGTTGGCCGGGAATCGAACCCGGGTCAACTGCTTGGAAGGCAGCTATGCTAACCACTATACCACCAACGCTTGTACGACCACCCTCTGATACCCTGATGCTTTACAGATAACAGCGAGGTGTAGAGGCCATATTGATAAACGCATGCGTTAATTTATACGTTACTAAAGTCAGATTCAGTCAGCGGCTAATGTTACTGGTCTAACATGGAAAAATGAGGTGAGCGGCTCTGATTTGCGGGTGATTTCCGTTAGTTAACCGTTAAAGTAAACTGACCATCAGCGTGTTGTGGTTCAGGTTCCAGGTCTTGGTGGTGAACGTGTGCGTCTGCGGGTCCACGATGGAGTCCTCCAGCACGTAGACGGCCCGGGCCATGTGAGCGGGGAACACGCGCTCCGCCCAGCCCGGCAGCCGGTTTGTCTTGGTCAGCAGTCGCCGTGATAACAGGTGGTTGCTGGGGGTGACCTCGCGGTACAGGACGTCCTCTGTGAGGACGTGGGCGCTGATACACAAACACATACAGATTATACAGAGAGCCACAGTGTGTGTGTGTGTGTAAATAAATAATATTTGTGGGATGTCTCAGTTTGAATCTGACCCTAACATTATTCTCAGTGATACTTTCACAGATAAACCTAGAACTGCAGGGTGCAAAGGGTGGAGGAGGAATGTTTTCCAGCTAAGAACGGGGGGTCAGGACAGAACCACCACGGGACACGGGGACGCTCTCTGTCAGTGAGGGTACAAACGTGTGTTACCTGTATGGGTTAGGGTAGCGCTGCCAGAAGGCGGCCAGCACCTGATGCCATGGACTGTTAATGTCGACCTCGCTGTGGAAATGCCTCCCCATGTCTACACACACACACACACACACAGAGAGCTCACGGCCGGAGTCATTCAGGAGCTGCAGGAAAAGGCAGGCACAGATACATTTTGTACATGTTTCCAAAGTCTCTTCAGGCAGAATATTTGTTTTGTTAATGTTACTATTCCCATGTTTACCAACAACTGTTTTGTTTTGTTTATAAGTGTTAATTTCTGCTGCACTGGGAAATGAAGCTGTGCTGCAGTGGTTTGCAGAGCGCAGGGCCCCAATGAATCATTCAGTCTGTAAAATGGTACAAAATAGTGAAAATAGTCATAAAAATTTCCCAGATCCTAAAGTTTATCTGAAAACAGAAATATTTAGTTAAAAAATTATGGACTGCAAACTGTGACGGCTTATAATCTTTTATGCAAGTACTTATAAGCTATTTCTCTATTATTATTATTATGTCTTATACATTGTTTTAATCTTTAACCTGTTCCTTTTAATGTATAGTGTTTAGGTCAGGGATGTGGAGTTGTTTTCTGTTCCTCTCCTGTGTTGGCTGGGACCAGTCAAGGCTGGCAGAGGATCTTTTGTTCCCCAAAACATAGAAACCCAGACTGTGCGAGCGATCATGCAGCCCTTTGCTCTGGGCCAGCTGATTTGTGATTTAGTTCTTCTTTGTTTATTCTCTTCAAAGACAACTATTGGTTGTAACTCAATTATTTGCTCAGCCCCTCACCAGGAACATAATTTCCACGACACAAACGATAATCATTTATCATATTACAGAATTTGGTGATAAATGTTGACTAATTAACTATATATTATTATATTATTTATTATATATATTTGGATGTTTCAAGGTTAAGTATGATTATAAAAGGACTATGGTTTTGTTACTTTGACTGAAGTAATACATCTGAGTACTTCTTCCACCACCTTGTATCACTCTAAACATCTCCTCTGTCATCCAAAATAAATAGATGGATTCTGCTTCATCAGTACAAAAACGACTTCTTTGACTTCAGGAAAGCTTCCCACTCAACCTCTCCAACAATAATCAAGAGCTCACCTACTGAGACAGTGGAGCCTTACAAGCACCTGGGAACAGTGATCGACAAAAACCTGAACTTCAACACATCTGACATCTACAATAAGGCTCTTCAGAGGCTTCACTTTCTATTTGGATAAAACACTGATGACTTTATTTTATAAATCTTTTAATGAGTCCATTTTTACTTTTTGTTGTATTTCTTGGTGTGGGAATCTCATTTATCATGTCTATCATTGTTAAGGTAGCCAGGTAAATAACATATAGCAGCTTTCTTTAGCAGACATCTACAATAGACAAGTGGTGTGAAAGGCCCAGACTTTCATAGCCACCTCTATGTTCTTCTCCCCTCTGGGCGAAGATACAGGTTCCCCAGGGAAAAAACCAACAGGCTGAAATTTTACTTTGCACCGAGGACAATTAATGCCCTAAATCTGCCCTGGGCTTGAGCTGCTTGTGCTAATACCATTTAAACTGCTGTTTATAGATGTTTTTATTTGTCTCATGCAAGGGTGTGACTTTGTGTTGAGAAGTGGTGGGGACATCGGGGCTCAGATTATGGGTGTGAAGAAACACTTAGCTTGTGAGACATCCCGATATGCGATATTAGTTTCACGAGAACAAGACAGTGTTTTAAAAAGATATCCTCACTGCCAAGATATATGAGCGGTGGGTCTGTGCAGAGCTCCCCCTGGAAATTTAGATCATTAAACACTTATTTTCCTGCATTCTGGTGAAAGTTTCTGCACCAATTTATTTTTATTTATAATTTATTTATTGGAAATGTTTTTTTTATGTAAAAGGAAACAAAATTCAACTCATTTCAAAATATATAAATCAAACAGAATCTAGGTCAGTGCAGTTCTCCAGATCTGTTTCTTCAGATATACTTTTTTCATGTTATATAATCCCTGCTGAGGCAACATCTATGTAGGCATTATTTAGTCTTCCCTCCTCTTTTGTTATGTTCACAGGGAGAGAACGGAAAACTTGGGCAAAAAGAAACTGTGTCAAGAAGTTATTAAAGTTCACGTTTTTGGGTCATTTATTTTTTCAGTTAGTTTTTTGGGACAAAGCACATTTGTTTCTCCTGTATTTTAATTGCATTGCATGTTTTCTTAATGTGCAAATAAAGCTTTTTAAAGGCATTTAAATTTTTTCAAATTCAAATCAGCTTTATTGGCATGAATGTGTAACAACAATATTGCCAAAGCTACAAATAAATTACAGAACATTCAATTTTAATACATTTAATAAAATAAGTAAATAAAACAGTAAAAGTTGTGATTGTGTTTTAATAAAAAGTAAAATAACAATAAAAAATATATAAAACACAAAAATGATAAAAATAAATAATACAATATAATAAAAAAATATAAATGTAAATAAATAAAACAATAAAAGTTGTGTTTGTGTGTGTTAATAAAAAGTAAAATAATAACAATAAAAAATATATAAAATATAAAAATGAAATGAAAAATAAATATTAAATATAATACAATAAATATAATTAAAAATATAAAAGTAAATAAATAAAACCGTAAACATTTGTGTGTGTGTGTGTGTGTGTGTGTGTGTGTGTGTGTGTGTGTGTGTGTATTATGGCATTTTCATTTGTTATTTAACTGCGAACAAATTGTTTTTAAAAAGTGGTGGGGACATGTCCCCAGCGTCCCCAGCGTAAATGACACCTATGGTCTCATGTCTCACGTATGTTTCTGTTAGATTGTTGTTTTTTTAGCTCTTCTAAAATGAATTTCCCCTCCAGGGACAATAAAGATTGAAATGAACTGCAAAAGACGACTGCGTTGGCCGGGAATCGAACCCGGGTCAACTGCTTGGAAGGCAGCTATGCTAACCACTATACCACCAACGCTTGTACGACCACCCTGCGTCACTCTGATGCTTTAGAGATAACAGCGAGACGTGGCGGTCATATTAATAAATGTGCGCGTTAATTTTATACGTTACTAAAGTCAGATTATATTCAAATGGTTTAGCAGCGAATAATATTACCGGTTTTACTGAATATACAAGGATAGAATTTGATCTGATTTGCGGGTCTTTTCCGTTAGTTAACCGTTAACGTTAGTTCCCTTTAAACCGCCAGTACCCGGCGCGACGGTTGAACTGGCTAACCCTAAACGTTAGCTAACGTTGGCTAACTTCACATAAGTTACACGACGATTAAGTCGACATTACTGCGAGCTGCCTGCTAATTAGGTGTTTAAGTTTATTTCCCTCTGTCGTGTGTTTGGGCTCAACTGTCTCAACAACCAAAAGTTGCATTATTTCTTTTAGGCTCTCATATACTAAGGTAGTTAGTTAGCTAGTTATCGTCACTGTAAGCCAGTACTTTAGGATTAGGCGTCATTTTTGTTATAATATCGTGCTCCATCATTTTCAGCAGCAGCAGCAGCTTCTTCCCCGAGTCTGTAGCAGCGTTCAACCGCGCTCAGGTGCCCGTATGTTGTAGCTGCGGAGGAAGCTAACAGCTAGCAGCTAACCGGGGAGCAGACGTACCTGCAGCCTTTGAGTTTCCGCTCGGTGTTGAAGAAGCCTGGAGGACCGTGAAACAGCAGCATTGGTGAAACGCAGCAGCTTACCTCGGCTTTGCTTTGCAGCCGCTGCAAATTCAAGGGAGAAAGAAAACGGGAAACAAACTCGTGTCAGGTGATCATAATAAGAGCAGCACCTGTGCACTTCCCTCCGTCCTCCAGCAGAGGACGAGCTGTAATCATTGTATGATTCAAGCAGAGGCCTCAGCTGCTGGATGTACTTCACTTTTAATAAGTGTTTTGTTGACTGAAGTACTCCAGAACAGATTTTGAGCTAGGGGTTGTTTGGGGTAAGACGCCCTCCCCTCCCCTAAGCTCTGCTGATACATAAAATAACATTTTAGTGGGGGGTTGTATCTTGAAGATGGCTGTGCTTAGGGCAACATATTATAAAGTAAAATAAATACAGTTTACAAATTCATTTCTAATTAATCAAATGTATTTTTTTTTTATGAAAAAGACTTTTCCCCTGCTAACTACTGGGGTTTCACAGGTAGACAAACAGGGTTATATCACTTTAATATGTACAAATTACGCATGAAATAAACTACACGCAGCTGGTTAAAGCCTATTATTTATTTCTCAGACTTAAAAAGTAAAGTTGCTGGGAACTTCATTAGCAGAAGTATGCGGTAAGACAAGGGCTATGTGAGCATGTACGCTTATTACCTCAGAGTTTTATCTCAGACTTTCTGATAAGGGGCTGTCCAGCATCTAAATAACATCTAACTTATAAACGATCAACCGTAAAGGGGCAAGGTGGGCCTTGGGGCATCTCACCCCACTGGAGGGGGTGTGTCCCAAACAAGGTACTATACATATTAGAAACACAATGTCTGTTAGCAATGGTAGAAATACATATAGAGATAGCTAATAATACAGAATATTACTGGGCACTGCTATCTATTTATCTATCTATCTATTTATCTATCTATCTATCTATCTATCTATTTGTTTTAATGCTACAGCGTTGAACATGATCTATACTACAGGCTACATGTGGTTTTCTTCTTCCTCGTGGGCTTTATTGCCCCCGAAGGGAACATTTCAACTCAGGAACCGAGGCCCAGACAGAACCTGGCTGTCCTAAAACAAGAATATAAAATGATAAAACTCCCAACTCACCAAACAATTACAGAAAATTAATTTACAAAATGATATTCTGGACATTTATCTGATGTGGTTTCGTGCAGGGAGCTGATGTAGGTCCACCTGCTGCTTCCCACCGCAGAGAGACAGAGCCCCCCCCCACGTGACAACACGCCTGCACAGGTGATTGATGTTCTGGTCTCTTTGCCGGGCCGCTGTGATGGACAGTCTGCAGTGTAAAGATAGTGGACCTCCTCCCTGAGAGGGCTTCAGGGACGACTGTAAACATGTACCTGACAGACAGCGTGGCGGAGCACACGGTGACTGATTTACATAACAAACACTTATTATTGCTATTATTCAGCCGTAGTAATGTTGCCTAACTGCCCATAAAATAAATTATTTACACGCAATGACAATGTGAACAGATGAGGAAGCAAGTAACCACAACAGACCACAATAATGAATAAAATAGTTTATAAGCAATACATAAATCGTTTTATTTAAAAATAGGAAGCTAACTTATACATCAGGACTTAATCAAAAGGTGCTCTGTGAGTAAGTCTTGTGTCCTGTTTGTCTGCAGCATGAATACAGGCTGGAAGGACAGGGGTTCCTTGTCTTACTTAAACTTGATAAACTAAAAATCACTTGACTTAAAGCATTTTAAGCGGCCGATAAAAGCGACAACAGGTGCTCATTCTGTTACAGCAGTGCAAATAAAACAGAAGTGTAAAATGCAGAAACACATTTGAGCATCTGTATTAATCACAGACTAATCCCATAAACTCCAAAGATGGTGAGTGGAAAAGCCAAAGGATCTGTAAAAAGTGAATAACTGCTGACGTACATGAAGCGGTGATGTAGAGTGAAGCGGTGAGGAGGCTGTAACCTTCACCTCACATTAACACATGAAACTAACAGAAATGTCTGATTTCCCAGCCCGTCGGCCATATAGGTCGAGGCAGGAGACGTAGTATAAAGAGCGACACAGTCCGTGTAAGGAGGTGGTGGGGTGGAGGGATGAGTAAACTCAGGACTTTAACTCGGGATACCGAGGTTTAAGGCACGTGTGAAAGAAAGTTAAAGTTAACATGTTTACAGGTAGATGACAGGATTTACGTAATGTACTTATTTTAACCCAAACCACCATCTTTTGCCTAAACCTGTCTCACTTTTTCACAACGGTTACCACGTGTTAAACATCATGTGACTTGCCTGTCGCTGGACTGATACTTTCCACTGGGGATTGGTCATATATGTCGTTGTACTTTCCAACGGATGTAGATGTAATTTTGAGACACTCGGCGATCAGTCTATTTTGTTGTTTCTGTGTGAGGATTTCCACGTAGTTCTGGCTTTGACTAAAGCCCTTTTTATAACGTCATCCCGTCGTGTCCTCTTCTTCTGTAATGCTTTAATACAGTGGTTCCCAAAGTGGCGTCCAGGGGTCCTTAAAGTGGCTCCCCAGGAAAAAGGGAAATCATTTATTTTTACTATAGTTCCATCCATACAGTAACACAATGACAAAATGTGTGACTCTGTTGTTCACTGGTTTCATACACTTTTTGTAATCAAACATCTAACAGCAAAACTCACATCAGATGGGGGTCCGTGGTTTAATTTGTGTCAGTTTAGGGGTCCTTGATGTGAAAAAGATTGAGAACCAACCGCCAATGAGCTTGTGTTCACACAGCAGCAGTGGATGGAATCAAGCAGGAAGTCGTGTTTTTCATTATTTTCTTGGAAATTCGGTTAAAACTTGCGGATGGATAAAGAAGCTGAGGGTAAAGGTGATGGACTGGCCAAGCATGTCTCCAGACCTAAACCCTATTGAGCATCTGTGGGGCTTCCTCAAACGGAAGGTGGAGGAGAGCAAGGTCTCTAACATCCACCAGCTCCGTGATGTCGTCATGGAGGACTGGAAGAGGACTCCAACCTGTGAAGCTCTGGTGAACTCCACGCCCAAGAGGGTTAAAGCAGTGCTGGAAAATAATGGTGGCCACACAAAATACTGACACTTTGGGTCCAATTTGGACTTTTTCACTTAGGGGTGTACTCACTTTTGTTGCCAGCGGTTTAGACATTAATGGCTGTGTGATGTGTTATTTTGAGGGGACAGCAAATTTACACTGTTATACAAGCTGCACACTCACTACTTTACATTCTTCAGTGTTGTCACATGAAAATATATAATCAAATATTTACAAAAATGTGAGGGGTGTACTCACTTTTGTGAGATACTGTATATATTAATACTTAATACTTACTATATATTACTATATGTATGGGTGGCACAGTGGTCTGTTCCCCAGCTTCGGTCCAGTGGATAGCAGTGTGTCCTCACAGCAAGAAGGTAGGGGGGTTCAAACCCCGGTCGTCCCAGTGGCTACTCACTTGAGGCATGGGTTAAATGCAGAGAATGACTTTTGCAACATGGATGTGACAATGAAGCATCTTCTTCATATTATTCTGATGCATTAATCTAGTTAGTTGAGGTTGAGAACTATTTTTTACTCAGACAGCAATTAATGATTATTTTCTTCATTAATCGATTGTAAACACCTTCGCAAAGCTTGTTTTGTCTGTCCAAACCTCAAAATTATTTTAAATTCATTAAAATAAAATAAAAAATCTTCATTTGTAAAGTAACAAGTAACTAAAGCTGTCAGATAAATGTAGAGTAAGAAGGACAATATTTCCCTCTGAGATGTAGTAGAAAGTGGCAAGAGAAGAAAATACTCAAGTAAAGTACAAATACCTCTAATTTGTACTTATGTGCATAACTTGAGTAAATGTAATTACTGTCTACCACTGGCAGTACAGGGTGTGCAAAGCTCTATAAACCAACAGGAATGAGAAAGTTAAATGTTAATAATCTTAAAATGACGTTTATTTAAATAGTTTAAAAGTTGGTAAAATCACAGGAGCACAAAGTCGTAAGACATGTTGTTAAATATTAATATACAACATTGTTATTAAATAAACTAGTAAATACTAAATTTTGTTCTTTTCATATCATCAGATCATATTTCTCCTGTATTAGTCTCTCTGCACAGGCACACTTTATTGATATTTGTATTATTAATTACCGCTGCCATTACTGTTACTTGCGTTGAGCGTCCTCCTTCCTCCTGCCCCCGGCCGAGGCAGATGGCCGCCCACGCTGAGTCCAGGTTCTGCCTCTTAAAAAAGTTATTTTCCTGTAAGTGCTTGCTCACGGTGGGAATCATTGGTAAATATCACAGAGTGCGGTCTGGACCTGCTCTGTATGAAAAGTGCAGTGAGATAAACTTCTGTTATGAATTGGATATATAAATAAAAATTTAATTGAATTTTCTCACTCTGCTCTGTCCTAATGTCTCTCACCCTCTCTCTCTCTCTCTCTCTCGCTGTTACCGGCAGGCAGCCAATCATCTGCTCTGTCTCTCGCCTCCTGGTTTCCCCTCACCTCGCCTCGACGCCAATCAGACCGTTCACACCACGCGCGCGGCACGCCGCCACAGGCGCCGCCAACAGCAGGAGACAAGGCGGAGGGCACGAGCCGACACACACACTCTCACTCACACTGACACACACACACACACACACACACCCTCCCCTCTCCCGTTACCCAACATCAACGTGTACCCCCCTGCCAACACCCCCCTCCTCCCCTCTCCCTTCACTCTGTCGCGAGAACGACGCACGTATCCGTTCATAACCTCCGCCATTATTCATCACCCCCCTCCTCCTCCTCCTCCTCCCCCTCCTCTTTCTCCTTTCTTCCCATGGTGGTGTTTTTTTCTTTTTTTCCCGCCCCTGCAGGGTCTCCACAGAGCCGCTTCCTCCTCGCCTCGACCTGGCTAATTTAACGCCTCTCTCTCTCTCTCTCTCTCTCTCTCCTCTCTCTTCCTCGCTCTCGCTCGTGCCAAACCCAGGTGATTATCCATCCGCCCCCATTATCCGTTACCCCCCGCCACCACCCCTCCCTCTCCTCCTCCTTCTCCTCTCCTCGGTACCGACAGACCGACAAATCCCTCCCGGTGCTCTTGTCTCCCCCCCACCCCTCCTCTCTCTCTCTGTCTCCTTCCCCGCCAGCCATGATCCGTGGCGGGCTAATTCCCAGACGGTCTTCTTC